CTACCAGCCACTCCTCGGAAGAAAGGTTGGGCAATCTACTTCCGTAGTGATACTGCCTCGGAAACCCAAGGAGGGGTTGCTATGAGTCGGGACCGACTCAACGACACACAACAACAACAACAGCACACTTACAAAAATACCTTGTGGTGGGAAGGCACAGTTGGCAAAATATAAATAAATAAATGACATGTGTATTATTTACATTAAAAATGGTAGTCATTAGGAGAATGTAAAATTAAAAAAAAAAATTAGATGTTAAAAACTGTGAAGGGTCTGAGATTTTACCCTACTTGAAAGCTAACAAATTAGCCTGCTATGATTTCAAGGACGTTGGCAGAATATGTGACTCCTGGGTCAGAGACAGAGGACAGCTTATTACTCAAAGCACAGCAAGCAGTATGCACTTCATGTTCCCATTTGTTCTCCATACTCAAACAAGTCCCATAAGGGCAATGCAGAGGTGGGCCCAGGCAGATTCTGTACTCACAATGGGCTAATGTCACAGTCAAGGAACACTAAACTTAAAAAACCCCTATTACTTGCCTAAGCTTTGCCCTGAAGGAAGACATTATCTTTATTACATCGGAGAGCAAACAAGTATTCCCTCTGCTCTGGAGGAAGACACTGTATCTTCTAAAGTGCTTTGCTATACAAGCATGTCTGATAGTCCAGAATCTATGAGAATGGCTAAAATTAAAAAATAAATAAATAAAATAAATAACATCACAATGAACTGATGAGGAAATGAAGTGACTGGAACTCTCACATTTTCGAGAATGCAAAATAGTACTTTGGAAAATGGTTGGAAGGTTTTCTATAAAGTTAAACATATACTAACCACATTATTATTAGGTGTCGTCAAGTTGGCTCTGACTCAGAGTGACCCTATGTACAACAAACAGAATAAAACACTGCCCAGTCCTATGCCAGCCTCACAATCCTTGCTACACTTGAGCCCCTCACTGCAGCCACTGTGTCAACCCATCTCATTGAGGCCTTCCCTCTTCTTTGTTGACCCCCCACTTTACCAAGCATGATATCCTTCTCCAGGGAATGGTCCCTTCTGACAACCTGACCAGAGTAGGTCAGACGAAGTCTGGCCATTCTCGCTTCCAAGGAGCATTCTGGCTGTATTTCTTCTAGGACAGATTTGTTAATTCTTCTGGCAGTCCATCGTACTTTCAGTATTCTTCACCAACACTACAACTCAAAAGCATCAACTCTTCTTTGGTCTTCCTTATTCATTGTCCAGCTTTTACATGCATATGTTGTTGTTGTTATGTGCCGTCAAGTCAGACCCGACTCATAACGACCCCTCCTTGGGTTTCTGAGGCAGTATCACTACGGAAGTAGATTGCTCTATCTTCCTTCCGAGGCTGGTGGGTTTGAACCATCAGCCTTCTGGTTAGCAGTCAGGTGCCTTAGGCACTATGCTATGAGGCAACTGAAAATACCATGGCTCAGGTTAGGTGCACCTTAGTCTTCAAAGAGACATTTTTGCTCTTCAGCAATTTAAACAGATCTTTTGCAACAGATTTGCCCAGCGCAATACATAGTCTGCTGTCTTTACTGCTGCTTCCACTGGTGTTGATTATGGAACCAAATCTTTGACAACTTCAATCTTTTCTCCATTTATCATGATGCTGCTTATTGGTCCAGTTGTGAGGATTTTCATTATCTTTATGTTGAAATGTAATCCATACCACAGACTGTAGTCTTTAATCTATACCAACCATATGGCCCAGTTATCCAACTCCTAGGTATTAACCTAATTAAAACTTACCTTTACCTGGACTCACTTCTGTGGATTACCTCTTAGCCCAACAAAACAAAGATCTACATGCAGAACACCTATCTCAGGGAGATGCACCCCTTAGATCTATCAGCCATGAGACATCAGAGGGGCAGCATTCACACAGAGGAAAAGCTGGACAGAAAGGAATGCATAGATAAGAAGAGCAGGGAGGAGAGCTTCTTTTTTGGTTGGGGATGGTGATCAGGCCGTGAAATCAAATGTACATGAACTATTGAATGTAAAACAAATCTGCTTCGCAAATTTGCACCCAAAGCACAATAAAATAAAACTTACATTTACCAAAAAACTCGTTTTGAAAATGTGTACTAAATTTTTATTCATATTGCTAAAAACTGGAAGCAATTCATATACCTGTCAGCTACTTAGTGGTCATCAAATGGGTGCATTCAATCAATAGAAACTATTTACAAATAAAAAGAAGTTAACTAACTGCAACACATAACATGGATGAACCTTAAGGTTCATTATGATAAGTGAAACAAGCCAGACTCAAAAGGCTACAAAATGCCTGACTTAAGTACAGAGACAGAAAATAGGTCAGCAACTGCTATGTGCTAGAGGTAGGGAAAGAGCGCTACAAAGGGATGCAAGATAGGTTTTTGGAGGTGATGGAACTCTCTTATATCTTGAGTGAGGTGGTGATTAAGTGACTTTGTGTGTCTGTCAAAACTCACAGAACTGTACACTAAGAAGGATGAATTTTACTCTATGTAAATTATACCTCTTAAGAAAGATAACTTGTGTGAGTGTGTACGTGCATGTGTGTGTGTAAACTCTGGAATTAGTCTGCCTGAGCTCAGCCTCTTTCTAAATGTGTGGTCTTAAACTCGCTAAGCATCAATTTTCTCAAAGCAGGAATAATAATAGTATCGACCTCATAGATTGTTAGCTTTACTTGTTGCTTGTCTATCATTATTACCTGATGTTCCACCAGGTACCTAACACTATGTTTGATGTTAAGTATACAGAAATGTTACTCTAACCATCTAAGGATGGTCCCTGCCTTCTGTGTTGTTGTTATTAGGTGCCATCGAGTCATTTCCAAATTCCAGCTACCCTATGTGTAACAGAACAAAAAACTCCCAGTCTTTGGCAACCCTCAAAATCACTGCCACATTTAAGCCACTGTTGTAGCCACTGTATCAATCCATCTCGTTGAAGTTTTTCCTCTTTTTCACTGGCTCTCTGCTTTACCAAGCATTATGTCCTTCTCCATAGATTGGTCCCTCTTGAAAATATGTCCAAAATACCTGAGATGATGTCTCACCATCCTCGCTCTTAAGGAGAAAACTGACTATTTTTCTTCCAAAACAAATTTGGAAGTGCATAGTATATTAAATATTCTTCAACAACATCATAATTCAAAGGCATCAATTCTTTAATCTTCCTTATTCATTGTCCAACTTTCACATGCATATGAGGCAAATGGAAATACCATGGCTTGGGTAAGGTACACTTTCATTTTCAGCACCACATCTTTGTTCTTTAACACTTTAAAGAGGTCTTTTGCAGCAGATTTCCCCAATGCAATACATCATTTGATTTCTTGACTGCTGCTTCCATGGACATTGATTGTGGATCCAAGTAAAATGAAATTCTTGACGACGTCAATAGTTTCTCCGTTTATCATGATCCCTCCCTTCCAGGAAGCTACAATCCACTGAATAAACATCTTCTGAATGGACAAATGAACACAATTGTTTTACCGCCATTAGGCTATTACAATAATTAGATAAGTAAATGAAAATGTCAGTATTTAGCATCTATTAATCCAACTTTGTATCAATAATTTAAATAGAGTTCTACTTCACCAAGTATTTTCTAAAGTAGTAGAAATTCAGAGCCAACTCTAAGAAATTCTGTTGCTAACCCACATATTTCTAGAATTATCTCCACAGATAATTTCAAAAGACTGACAATTGCAATTATTTATCATTTATTAAATTCAGAAAGAATCAGCTTACCTCAGTTTTCACCAATTTTACATCAACGTTACTTTAACTTGAGTAAGAGTATCAAGAAAGAATTACAAGAAAAATGTGAGAGTATGTGTCCTTATATGCCAAGACTTCATGTATTTGGAGAAAACATTTCCCTAGAAAGTTAAAGCTAAGAGGAGTCACTGAAAACAGATAAAGAGAGAATGAAGTATTTCAGAGAACTCAGGTTTCTCAGAGAAAGGAACTAATGATTTCACCTTTATATTCAATAAATGACCCACTAATCAGTGTGTGTTTTGTCTGCATTACAATCACACATCATATATAAACACCAGATCTTCTACTATGCACGCCATATGCCTCTGTCTCTCAACCCAGTGGAATGTCCTTCCTTCAGGCTTAGAGTATCAGCAGCATGAGGAACTCAGGCCAGAACACACTGCAGCTACTTTCAGAGTTAATTACATTTTTACCATAATTATTAGCCATGTATTGAGGCCCTACTATGTGCTCAGTCCTGACAAGATAAAGGTCTATGGGCATTTTTTTTTTTAACTGTGTCCTTCCCATTCGAGGCTAAAAGAAAATCAAGCTACTCTTATTTCAAAGTTTTCTATCTCCTGTCATCCCACATCAAATCTCAGTGAAACACTGAGTGGAAAATGTTCTTGGAGTGTTATTAACTAAAAATTCTGCAACAAGTATGGCTTTTTGCACAGGATTTCACACTGAATAATATAGTAACACCTAACCCAGTGGGAAAAAAGAGAGCATTTTAAAAGATATTTTAGAAAGCATGACATGTGTATAAGGAGCTTCTCAAACAGAATCCAGGGGCTCATTTTTACCAGTTGACTTACGATTATTGTATTGGAATATGGAACCCACAAACATGGTGGATTTTCCAAAGTTTTATATATTGATTATGCCTCTCTGGTAGTGTAGTGCCTAAGGCACCTAACTGCTAACCAGAAGCCTGGCGGTTCAAACCCACCAGCCACTCCTTGGAAGGAAGGTTGGGCAATCTACTTCCATAGTGATACTGCCTCGGAAACCCAAGGAGGGGTTGCTATGAGTCAGGTCTGATTCGACAGCACATAACAACAACAACAACAATGTAGAAAGCTATAAGCAAAGAAGAAAAAAAAAAAACGGAACTCATATGACAACTAGAACAAGTCAAAATAAATTAGTACAAAGACCATTTGGAAGAACCCAGAAAAAGTGATTGCTGGCTAGCTTACCTTGCTTTTTTCCATTAATATTTTCTAAAGTACCAGCAAGTTGACTGTCAAAGCTGGGTTGAAGGCCACTGCTTTGTTTTTCAAGGTGATGCTCTTCCTCGGCAACAGAAGAAATTGCATGTGGTGGTGTTTGGTCATCAAGGATCTGATTGGGCCACTGGGACACTATGGAACATGAGTCCTTTGCTCGTTGGCCAATGTTGGGTCTCGAAGTTTGGGCACCGTCCTGCAAATCACTATTACAACAGGAGAAATGATCCACTTCAAGAAACAAGGAATTCGTGTTCTCTTGACTCCAATCATTGTCTTGTTCTTCATCTTCAAAGTAAGTTTCCCGAATCTGAATGTTATCTAAGTCCTGGTCACTTAATTTAGAGTCTTGCTTGCTTAAATTAACCAGTGAAGCAGATAATGTATCACCTGCTTGCTGAAGAGCTTCATAAACCCGAGCCATCCAGGAAGACAGAGGCTGGAAGAACTTCTGAGCATCTTGAGAGGCCATGACCAACACCATGGCCAGCTAGCTGATGTCTACAAAGTCCACTTTTCAGTTCTGCCCATACTCTGGACTTACGCGAACTACAGAATAAGCAGGATGAAAAATTAAATTGATGGTCTCTTAATGGCTGTGAATAGTTCACTCTCAAAACTTCTCAGCTGAAACAGAGGAAAGAAATACTTACACCTGTTAAAGTTACAACCTCAGAACCATCACCAAATACCTACAACCAATTTTAAACAGCTTTTGGGTACCAAAAGGAGATCATCACTGAAATATTAATACAGCTAAACAAAAATGATTTTGTGAAAGTCTAAATATAGATTATTTCAATCCCTATTCACCTCCTCAGGCATGTGCAAAACTTCCATTAGCAGTAATGGGCTCTATTCATGTGGACTGAGAAGTCTATTCCCCACAGACCATACTTAACCATGTGAAAAGGATAAATGAATCTTCATTAAGAGGCAGTTAGGCATGACATTTCAAAGTACAAGAAAGGTTGGATACTCCATCTACGAGCCTGCAGATCCCAGAGAGCAGACTAATAAGCATCTTTGCCTCATGACACAAAGATTTATCCTTCCAAAGGAAATGTGTGCCTGGAATTAAGCTCTTAACAAATCTTTAAATAGGATTTTATATTTTATGCAACTTCTTGAAATTATATCTATTCTTGGGGAACAAACATAATCACTGAAAAGATGAACATGGCAAGTAGAGCATCCAGCTTACTGGAGACATGTCCCTAGTATCTCATTGCCTTTGTCCCTGTTCCAACCTCCCAAAGATAGCTCTCCATAACCTGTGAGTCTCCTGAGAGATACTTCTTTGCACAAATTCACAGCCTGAAGGAAGCAGTTAGGTCATCAACGAACAAAGGACAAGGAAAAATAGCTATGCATATACATACATACATACAAACAAGCACACACATATGCATATGTATATTGTTGTTGTTGTTGTTGTTGTTATGTGCCGTGGAGTCGGCCCCGACTCATAGCAACCCCTCCTTGGGTTTCCAAGGCAGTATCACAGTATCACTACGGAAGTAGGATTGCCCAACCTATTAGGTATGTGTATATCTTATTGCCTATATATATATATGGGAGCTCTGGTAGCATAGTGGCTAAGACACTTGCCTGCTAACCAGACGGCTGGCGGTTCAAACCCACCAGCCACTCCTCGGAAGGAAGGTTG